TCAACACCCGCCTATGAGTGAGAACATGCGGTGTTTGATCTTCTGTTCCTCTGTCAGTTTGCTGAGAATGATGGTTTCCAGGTTCATCCAAGTCCCCACAAAGGACCCAAACTCATCGTTTTTGATCCATCACCTGAATTCTTCCCCTCTGCCTCCCACCTTTCCTCAGTCCAGCTGACCGAACTCATTCCTCTTCTCCAGGGTAGTCTCTGTGACCATCAGTCTCTCCCTCTCCTCCCCAATATCCCCAGCCCTCATTATCTGAAGCTACAGGTCAGCCACCATTAAGTTAAAAGAAAAAAATGGCACTGAGCCCCACTGAGCACTCTGCCACCTAGGACTGACCACACAGCCTAGAGACATGTCCTTTGAGGTTTCCCTGCAGATTGAACCTTCACAGACTATTGATCTCTGTTCATTTGGTTTTCCAAGAGCAAGGAAAGTCAGACTTGGGTACATTTCGGCGATCACATCTCAGTGGGAATTTAGAGATGATTTAGTCTCTACTTTCAGTTTCACCAAATAAAACATGAGAGACCCCTCAAAATTTTATGTCTATATCCCTGGCACCTAGTATAGTGCCTTGCACACGGTAGGTCCTTCATAAATATTTGTTGAATGAATGAGTGAGTGAATGAATGAATTAGTAAATAGCAGATATGCATCCAGATTGCTTAACTCTCAGGACATTAAATGAGCTCGCTTCTTTTTTATTTTCCTACTTTATACTTACTGTTTGTTTTAAGTGATTATTTGATCATTACAAAAAACAATTTTCAGGACAGGAAAGTACCTTTCAGTGTCCCTTCCACTAAGTCATACTTATGTCCCTTATCTAAGTAAAGTAACTTCCTAGATGCTGTTTTCGACTTCCCTAACTGCAGCAGCAAAATCTTGCTAAATCCATTTCCTGATTTACACAAACACAGATTGTCAGTTGCTGAATAGTAGGGCTGGTGAATACTTTTCTCCTCCAATTTCAGACACTTCTAAGTAGCAGTCAGGGATATGAAGCCAAATATTTAGTCTTCTCTTTCCTTTTCTTTTTTAGACAGGGTATTACCTTTTGCCCAGGCTGGAGGGCAGTGATCCAGGTACATTCGCTGCTCATTGCAGCCTCAGCCTCCTGGGCTCAGGCGATCCTCCCATCTTAGCCTCCCAAGTAGCTGGGATCACAGTCGTGCATCACCACCACACTTGGCTAATTTTTTTTATTTTTTCTGGAAGCGGGGGCCTCCCTATATTACCCAGGCTCATTTTGAACTTCTGGGCTCAGGCGATCCCCCTGCTTTGGCCTTCCAAAGTGCTGGGATCACAGGCATGAGCCACCGTGCCCAGCCAAATTTTAATCTTCCGAATCAAGAGTGTGCTCTCTATAAATGGCTTGTCAAAAGGAGTGAGAGAACTGGCTTATGTTTGCACAGCTGAACATGTGAAAGTATATAATTTTACTCTAAAGAGCTGACAATGCTGACCTAGTTTATTTCCTTCTTTCCTTTGATTTCTGATGTCTGAGACTGCCTTTGTTTTTTGTTTGTTTGTTTGTGGTTTTATTTTTCCTGAGACAGGGTCTCACTCTGTTGCCCAGGCTAGAATGTCGTGACACCACCACAGTTCACTGCAGCTCAACCTCCCAGGCTCAAGCATTCCTCTTACCTCCACCTCCCAAGTAGCCGGGGATTACAGGTATGCACCACTACGCCCAGACAATTTTTGTATTTTTTGTAGAGAAGGGCCCCACTATGTTGCCCAGACTGGTCTCAAACTCCTGGGTTCAAGCAATCCACCCACCAGGCCTCCCATAGGGCTGGGATTACAGGCATGAGATGCTCTGCCCAGCCTGAGACTGCCTTTGTCTTCTTTAAAATTTTTTACCTAAAGGAGATTTTTGACGAAAGTTCAAATGATGCACAAGTTTTTGTGTGTATATTTGTTATCTTATCTTGGGTAAATATAAAAGAGAATTGTTAGGTTACATAACTCCATATTTAACCTTTTGTGAACTGCCAGACTGTTTTCCAAAGCTGCTACATCATTTTGCATCCCTACTAGTAGTATGTGAAGATTCCTGTCTCTCCACATCCTCACCAACACTTGTTATTATCTGACTTTTTTATTATAGCCATCCTAATAGGTGTGAAGAGGTATCTTGTTGTTTTAATTTGCATTTTCCCAATGGCTAATGATGTTGAGCATATTTTCTTATGCTTATTGGGCATTTTTATATCTTCTTTGGATAAATGTCTATTCAGATCCTTTTCCCTTTTTTAATTGGGTTAATTGGTAATTTTATTTATTGCTAACTTGCAATAGTACTTTATATATTCTAGATACAGGTCCCTTACCAGGTATATAATTTGCAAAAAAATTCTTCCATTTTGTAAGTTGCTTTTCACTTTCTTGATTCCATCATTTTATATTAACCTAACTATATACTTATGGTCGATGTGAGATTTTGTAGACAGACTATTGCTGGATTGTTTATTTAACCAATTCTGACTATCTCTGTCTTTTAATTGACTGATGTAAGCCATTTATATTTAATACTTGTATGTTTGGTTTAAGTCTGTCATTTTATTACTTTTTCTCTACTTGATCCCTCTTTTTTTTCCCCTCTTTTACACTTTCCTGCCTCCTTTTCTCTGAACACTTTTTAGTATTCCATTTTATTTTTTTTATTATATGTTTTACTATGTCTCTTTGGGTAGTTTTTTCTCTTGTTTTATGGTTGCCCTAAGAATTATTATGCAGACTTACTTTTTCACAGTCCACTTAGAAACAATATTTTACCACTTCAAGTGAGATGTAAAAATCTTACCACCACATAGGTCCTGCTACGTTCCCACCTTTATGTTGCAGTTGTCTTATGTATTATGTCAATCGATGTTATATTTTTGGCTTCCAATCATCAAATTTAAAGAACTCATGAGGAGAAAACTAGTCCATTATATTTATCTTGATATTTATATGTTTCTGTTCCTTCCTTCCTTCCTGCTGTTCAATTTTACCTGTTATCATTTCCCTGCTACCTAAAAACTTGCCTTAACAATTATTTTAGAGAAAATATGCTGACATATCTCATTTCCTTCAACTGAAGATGTCTTTCTCTTACCTCCATTCATAAATATTATTTTTGCTTGATATAGAATTTGAAAGCAACCTGTTTGTTTTCTATCAGCATTTTTTAAATGTTGTGCCACTTTATTCTGGTATCCATAGTTTCTGATTAGAAATCTGCAATAATTTGAATCATAATCTCCTATAGGGGATGCATCATTTTTTTCTCTTGCTATTTCCATTTTGTTTCCCCATCCAGAGACAAGATCTCACTCTGTCACCCAGGCTGGAGTGCAGTGGTGCCATCACAGCTCACTGCAGCTTCAATCTCCTAGGCTCAAGCAATCCTCCCATCTCAGCCTCTCAGGTAGCTGGAACCACAGACATGCCCCACCATGCAAGGCTAATTTAAAAAAAAAAAATTACAATGATGAGCTCTCACTGTGTTGCCCAGGCTGGTCTCAAATTCCTGGACACAAGTGATTATCCCACCTCAACCTCCCAAAGTACTGGGATTACAGGCATGAGCCACTGCGCCTGGCAAAATGTTTCCATCTTTGGATTTCTTCAGGTTAATTATTATATCTGGGCATGGATTTGAGGGGGGGAGTTATTCTGATTTGGATTTGTTTAGCTTCTTTAATCAGTTGATTTATATCTTTTGACAAATTTGGGGATTTTTCAGCCATTATTTCTTGAAATTTTGTTTCTGCACTACACTCTTTCTCCTCTCCTTTTGGGATTCTGATAACACAAATATTAGACTTTTCAGTATTGTTCCATAGGTTCTTAAGGTCTTGTTAATTTTAGATAAATCTTTTCTTCTTCTCTTTTTTTTCAGACTGGTAATACCCAGTAATCTACCTTCAAGTTTCCTTGCTCTTCCCTATGCCATCTCCATTATGTTTGTGAGCCAATCCAGTGAGTATTTTATTTTGTCTATTTTATTTCTAAAATTTCCAATTAGTTCTTCATATCTTCTGTTTCTTTGTTGATATTTTTCTGTCTTTCCATTCATACCCCAGGGCTGAGGGAGCATATGCAAAGCAAACTTAGAAGGAGTTCAGCCCCTCAGACAGCAGGTAAGTCCTCCAGTTTGGGCAGGCTAGTCTGGAGTTGCTGGGCAACTAATAGACAACACCTTCAAGTTCAGGTAGGGAGCGCTAATCAGCAACTGGTGGCATGGCCATGTAATGGAAGTCCAGGTGTTAGAAGGGATAGAGGGTCTTCAGAGTGTGTGGACCACACAGGCACTTGCAGAAGGTGTGGCAGGTTTGGCATGTGACCCTCAGGGCCACAGGCAACCGTGTGCAGGTAATTTGGAGGCTTGTGAAGAAAGTCGAAATACAAGCACAGGCAGGAGGCCTTCAGAGCACATGGGCTACACAGAGGCTCCGTTTTCTGGCTCAAGAGAGCTGTGGAGGCCAGGACTGCAAGGCCAGGGATGCAAAGTTGCAAAGGGACTGTTCTGAGCCCAGGCATGGGGCAGGTTCTGATGGATAGTCTCACATGCCCACTGTTGATCCCCGGCCCACGCCAAAAAAAAAGGCAGGAAGCCTCTTCTTACTACCTTGTCCCTCCAGTGCCTTCCATCGAGAAAGCTTAACATTGTGCTCGCTTTAAAGGACCAGTATTCAAAGGAATGCCATTGTATAACACAGAGTATATTTACTGAATGGCGCATTCAAAGCTGAGAGGCAGTGAGTTGACTGACGCCGTAGGTAATCTATCAGGTTGAATTTAGACCTTAAATTCCAACCTGCCTTCTGTGGGTTGTAATTCCCCTGTCTGTTCAGTTTTGTCTTCGTGGTGCTATTCAGCTATGTTCCGTGTGCGCCACCCAGTGGCCAGTCTAGGGTGTGGCTGAAGGTCTATCCAGGTGTTCTAGTCTAAACATCCTTGGCGTGCTGGTTAAGGTCAGGTCCACGCATGCGCAGCTCGGGGATGAGCCCAGGAACAAACTTAGGAAGCTGTTTTCCCCAAATTCCTCTCTCTCTCTGTGACCTCCCTGGTCCTTTCCAGATCGCTGGGCTCCCTTTTTCGGTCCTCTGACCAAAAACCTGATGTAGTTAGCCCACTCTGCCATGTACTTCCTACAACTGCACCCACAGTCGCGACCAAGCAGCAAAGATTTAAGAGGATAAAAAAGCGTGACGGTCCAGCACTTTGGGAGGCCGAGGCGGGTGGATCACGAGGTCAGGAGATCGAGACTATCCTGGCCAACGTGGTGAAACCCCGTCTCTACCAAATACAAAAAATTATCCGGGTGTGGTGGTGCATGCCTGTAGTCCCAGCTACGCGGGAGGCTGAGGCAGGGGAATCACTTGAACCTGGGAGGTGGAGATTGCAGTGAGCCGAGATCACGCCACTGCACTCCAGCCCGGGCGACAGAGCAATATTCCGTCTCAAAAAAAAAAAAAAAAAAAGGCATGACGGTTTTGACGGTTTGCTCCTCTCTTTTGGTCTACAGCTCCGCTAATCAGAAGAGGAAGGTTCTCTGCATGATCTCACATTACGTGAAATCGTAAAAAGTTGAACTCATAGAAGTAGAGTGCAGAAAGAGGTTGGGGCCAGGGAAGAAGGGAATGGGGAGTTATTTATTGGTCAAAGGGTACAAAGTTTCAGATAGGTAAGAGGAATGTTTTGAAATCTATTGCATAGCAGGGCGACTATAATCAATAATAATGTATTGCATATTTCAAAATCACTAAAAGGGTAAATTTTATAAAAATCATAGGTAAAAGAAGCGCATTTAATTTCTCTTTTTCCAGTTTTCCTAGTCTTTTATCTTCAGCTAAGGAGTATCTAACTGGCAAAGATTTTAATTAAGGTTTTGGCTTTTTTCTTTTTCTTTTGGAGACGGAGTTTTACTCTATCACCCAGGCTAGAGTGCAATGGTGCAATCTCGGCTCACTGCAACCTCCGCCTCCCAGGATCAAGGGATTCTCCTGCCTCAGCCTCCCGAGTAGCTGGGATTACAGACGCCTGCCACTATGCCCAACTAATTTTTGTATTTTTAGTAGAGACAGGGTTTCACCATGTTGGTCAGGCTGGTCTCAAACTCCTGACATCAGGTGATCCACCCGCCTCGGCCTCCCAAAGTGCTGATTTTACCGGCGTGAGCCACCATGGCACCCGGCCAAGGCTTTGGCTTTCAACATAAAAGTCTCCATAAAGGAATGCTACACATCAGCCTGAAAATAAAAGATCAATATCCACAGGCAGTAATGAAGAAACATTAAAAAGAGAATCCATCAGCCTAGTTTTCTGGAGGAAATTTCTACACAGAACCCAAGTCTACACATAAATCAGAAAGCTGAAGTAAAGTTAACTGCATTTGAGCAGTGTGGGCAGCCCAGCCAGCCAGAGTAACTGAAGCTGGAAGAATTACTTCCTACCCACAGGGCTCCTGTTCTCTAGATCAACCAGATGCATCACAGATGCTGTTGTTGAGGTTCTTTCATTTCCTTAGGCCAGTTGGCCCTTAGGAAGTAGCCAGAGCTGTACATTAACTGCCCTTACATTTTAAAAATAATTGCTTATTAATTTTTATGCATTAACATAGAGAAAGGCAATTCTAGTTCCCATCTTAGAGGAATGATTTCTTCTTGATGCCTTTGTGTTCTAAATATTTGATCGTGTCAACAAAAAATAGCTTCATCATCTTTGATAAATTCCTGGAATTATGAAATTTAATTACCAAAGGCTCTGATGCATTTTTAAGTAGTTTAAGTCATTACTACTCTCAGTATTTTGGTGGGAAAGAGTATATCCTATGTGTGATCTAACCATGTTCACCATTTTCCCTGTGTTTTAACAAGCAGAAAAAGCGGCTGAGTGCAGTGTCTCATGCCTATAATCCCGCACTTTGGGAGGCCAAGGTGGGTGGATCACAAGGTCAGGAGTTCAAGACCAGCCAACATAGTGAAACCCCACCTCTTCTAAAAATATAAAAAATTAGCCAGGCATGGCGGCAGGTGCCTGTAATCCCAGCTACCTCGGTAGCTGCGGTAAAAGAATCACTTGAACCCAGGAGGCAGAGATTGCAGTGAGCTGAGATCACACCACTGCAGTCCAGCCCAGCAACAGTGCCAGACTCCATCTCGAGAAAAAAAAAAAAAAAAGTTTCTCTTATACAATTAAGAGGGCTTTGAATGTGCCAAGATTTAAATCAGCATCTTGCCCATAAGTTGAAGTTTTGATCGCAAACATGTATAATGAAAACTGGAGACTCTGAGAACAGTAGGTGATGACCACGTTTGCTGGAGATTTACATGTGATGTCCAAAGGTGCTGGGAAGCTATGAAATACAAGGCCCTAAGTGTCAGGTCAAGCCCAGCCCCTGGCATCCCACATAGGACAGGGCTGAGTTCAGGCCTCTCTAGACAACTGGACAAAGTTGACCTTAATCTAGAAGGTAGTAGCTCACGGGTGGGTGCTGCGACTGGGAAGGTAGTTTCAAATGAGAGTCCATGTGTCAGTCCAGGGAAAGTAGGAGACTCCCCATCCAGGGGAGAAGCCACATTGGGGAGCCCACAGGATGCAGCTGTCAGAGACAGACACAGGTGCCAGTCCCTCAGCAGATCTTTACTAGATCTCCTAGTAAAGTTACAAAGCTAATCTCTACTTTGAAGAATAAATTCTAGTCAACACAATCTTTCAGGCAAAGATGTAGAATGTAATGTCCTAAGCATTAACTTTCTCTAGGACTATAGAAATGTCATCATAGCCGGGTGCGGTGGCTCACGCCTGTAATCCCAACACTTTGGGAGGCTGAGGTAGGTGAATCACCTGAGGTCAGGAGTTCAAGACCAGCCTGACCAACATGGAGAAACCCCATCTCTACAAAAAATTAGCTGGACATGGTGGCACATGCCTGTAATCTCAGCTACTCAGGAGGCTGAGTCAGGAGAATCGCTTGAACTTGGGAGACAGAGGCTGCGGTGAGCCAAGAGTGTACCATTACGCTCCAGCCTGGGCAACAAGAGCAAAACTCTGTCTCAAAAAAAAAAATAAAAGAAATGTCATCATAATATACTACGCCAACACAGAAAAGGAAAAATTAACCTCTACAGGATCCAGACCCTCAATACAAACAAAGCAATATCCTCTTATAGGAAACTACAACCAAGCAGATTCTACAAAGCATCCTAAGTGCAAAGCTTCAGCCTGGACCCTCACAGAATTTGACAGCAGAGCGTCATGGTTCCAAAACAGCATCTGATTCCAGTTCCCTGCTGTGGGTCTGGTTTTGCGTGGTTATAGCAGAATTATGAGAACAAGCCTCCCTCGATTTGGGCTACACTGTCCACAGTTGCAGAGCATCTTCCAGAGAAAACACCTGCAATGATGAGACGGAAGGAGAACGGTGGCATCTCTCACGGCAAAGGAAAGAACAGTGAGGCCACAGAATGTCATCAGGCACCTTCTGTCCAGGCCAAGGACTCCCGGGTACAAACAGGTTCCAGCGGCTGAGTGAAGATGTTAACCATCAGCAGCTCTCAACGGTTGGATTGATGAAAATAACGCCTGGAAAATCTTTTGCTTAGTGCAGGGCCCAGAAAGCTTGACGGTAAATAACTGAGGTTTCGCAGGTCAATAAGCAACATCGAAGATGATGTAGGTGTTTATGTAACAAAAGAGAACCCTCTGGCGAGCCTCTCCCTGCTTGCCTCCAGAGAACCATCCGGAGTAGTGAGCATGCTTCATGTCCAGATGCTGCTTGCTGAAAACATTCTCAGAACAAGAGGGACTAGCCCAAGAGGGAAAGCCCTGCAGGTATGGTGAAAGAGGTGGGGGGACGGCACTGGGCACGGTAGCTCACACCTGTCTTCACAGCACTTTGGGAGGCTGAGGCAGGTGGATTGCTTGAGCTCAGGAGTTTGAGATCAACCTGGGCAGCATGGCAAAACCCTGTCTCTACCAAAAATACAAACATATATATATAAGGTGGTGCCGGGCGCCTGTAAACCA